ATCTTCTCCCACCTTTCCATCTACTGAGCCCTTCTTGCAGGCCTAGGAACTCTTCACCCTTTAACTGACAGTGTATTCTCTACTCAGAGCCGCTGCTGCCTGTGGACTTGAAAGGTGTCTCAGAGCCTGTCTCGTTGGCTGCCTTCCAAGTTACTAGAGAAAGCTCCACTCTGACCTCCCAGTCACCATTGACACACAGCTGCCAAATGTGAATTATAACCCTCCATTCATTAAAGTGACCTTGACAGTTTTCAGAGTCCTTTTTCACACGTTTTTATTTGGTGTTCCCAATAATCAGGCAAGATTGTAAGGGCCATTTTCACAGATGAGGAGTGATGTTAGTTGTCACACATCACACAGTAACCAAGGTTACCAAGGGCCCTTTGCAAAAACACGAGGTCACCTGGGGTGAGGGTGGGGCATGGCCTTCCCCGGGTAGAGTAGGAAACCTGTTTCTTTATTCCTCCCCACACCGTGAAACAGCCTTCTGTGATACTGGACAGAAGCTGGAGCTTCCCAGTCCAAAGAGCTTGCATTTGGTTATTTCATCGATATCTTGATCAAGCCCAGCTATAACATCTACCGCAAAGACAGATTCATTCTTCCACCCTGAGAGACTCGCTAAACAATGTGGTTGTTTAGATTCACCAGTTTTTTCCATTTCCAGCTAACCAAGAGTTCAGGTACTGAAAGCCATCTGATGTCAGAGAAATTTAAAGCTAAATAAAGGATTCTTAAATCGTTATATGTCCAGTTTTTAAAGCCTCCATTTTACTGAGCAGGAAGTTTGCAGAATGATCACATTAGCACCAGAGCCTTGGACGCTCAAGTGAACTTGAGCCCACAAAGTCAGCCTGAAACCCCGCCCACTCTTCTCAGAGTCACTGCTTCTAGCCTGTGTTGTCTGGTAGAACAAACCTTACTGCACACTCTTCCTGCCTCTGACTTCAAATAAACTACCGTTTCTACTCAATTCCCAGAGAAAGCTCAAGTATGAACGTGCCCCTGGCAGCCGGCTCCCCTGTTGAGTTACTATATTGGGTGTTCTTTCACTGGCTCTGGAGTAGTGAAGACTGGTTGGCAGGGATATGGCTCTTTAAATACAAAATTTATTCTCTTTCTTTTTAAAGACATTCTTCAAGCCGACCCCACCTTCTTGGCTCAATGTGAGGATTTATTATCTAAATTCATATACATACACACACTCGCTCTAACTCTGGGATGTAAAATATTTCTTAGTTTTTACTTTTTATCTCTCTTTGCCTTAAAAATCGGATCCCTCTTAAGTTTCCCGAATGCCAGTTCCTAGCAAAAATGGATGCCTTATGAATATGTAGATGAATTTTAATAAAATGATATGAAGGCAGCAGCTATGCGTGTTCTAAAAAACGTTTTCAGAGCCCCGTGAGACTTCCAAACCCTCCTGGAAGATGAGGCTTCCTGCAGAGAAAAGGAAAATGAGAGAATAGGACGTGATTGGATCGGTTCCGTTTACTATGATTTAGCATGAAAAAATGCTGCCTTATGTCTCTTTTTAAATTCTCCTATGGCTGCATAAGCCCATGTTGAGTAAGTCATTCAACCTAGGTCTGCTCGGCTCAGCAGTTCCCGCTGTGTTAAGTGGGACCTAATTGCAGAGGATAGCTGCCTCCTAGCGCGGAGTCCTTATTTCATTAGCATTACAGATTGGGTTCTTGGGAATGACATTCTTTGGTTTAATTTGTTTACAGTTTAAGTCTTGCAGATTGTCACTTCCTTAATCTAACAATCTGCTAATTCTTAAAATTGGAAAAAAGAAAAACCAGCTTATCAGTCTACTTGTCAGGAAAGACTTAGCTGTCAGGAGCTCTAATGAGGTTCGATATTAATTCCTGACTGTATTTTTCCCCCAAACAACAGTGAAGAGTTTCCCCCCAAACAACTAGTATATTGTGCAATTCCTCATGGTTAATTAAAATAGTAACTATAATAAACAAAAGAAGCTCATTTTGTGATTCCGACCTAATTGCTTTTTAATTGCACTGCTTTTCATGTTTCTTTTCAAAATTCGCTTTTCTGAAGTAGTCACGAGGGAAAACGAGTGTCTGTTGAACACTTTCTCTGAAGCTGCGGCCATTCCTGTGGAATTGCTGGTCAATGTTTGGCAGCTGCTAGACCATCCACTTCAGTTCTTAACTCCTTAAATGTTTTTAGCGATGGCTGAGTTCCAAATATGTATATATTTTTAATCTATCTCCTTTGTCCACTGATTTCCCATCTTAGATACATATTATCTCTAATTTTGGGAGCAGATAATTCATGGTTGTGGTAAACAATATTAAGAGCTACAGTGGGATTATATTAGGGCCAGGCGTGGTGGCTCATGCCTGTAATCTCAACCCTTTGGGAAGCCGAGGCGGGCAGATCATGACGTCAGGAGTTCAAGACCAGCCTGATCAACATGGAGAAACCCCGTCTCTACTAAAAATACAAAAATTAGCGAGGCATGGTAGCAGGCGCCTATAGCCCCAGCTACTCGGGAGGCTGAGGCAGGAGAATTGGTTGAACTCAGTAGGTGGAGGTTGCAGTGAGCCGAGATCATGCCACTGCATTCCAGCCTGGATGACAGGAGCAAGACTCCATTTCAAAAAAAAAACCCTACATAATTTTTTAAAAATGTGTTGGTCCCATGGAAGGCATAAGAGTGAAGGGATTGTGTCCCTCCCCCTGTGAAGGTTTGAATCTTTATGTCAGCTGAAATAAACTGACAATAGATTAATAAATTTGTTATTAATGTGCAAATGTGCACAGGAGCCACACAAAATATGAGACTCCAAAAGAAGGGCCAGATGGTTGAAGCTTAAATACTCTCTTCATAGGGGAGAGGCAAGTGAGGGATGTAGGCAATTTTAGAAGAGTAAATGATGTTTAGGGGAGATGATTAGTATGGAAATGCAGACAATAGCCTGGAACAAATTTCCTCCAGGGTGTGGGGGGGGGGGGGGGGGGGGTGGTGACAAGTTATGGGAAGGTGAGGGGCAGAACTCCACTGAGAACAGAGGTTATTTTATCATGCAGGTAAATCAGGTGACAGCCTGTAGAAGAATAATTGAAAGAATAAGTGAAAAGTGTCTCCAGGAGTGGGATCTTGGTGTGGGCTTTTAATTTCTTCTGCTATATGAGTTAATCTCTGGTTAATGTAGATTCCAGAGAGGGGGTCCAAGACAAATGCAAGTCTTCTGGATGAACTTCCCTCAGGCAGATAAGAGAACTTGAGACAAGGGAAGTTGGAGGGGGTGGGGAGGAGAAGATGAGAGAGAGACTTTGGTTCTGAGGCTCATTTCTGAGGTCTCTGAATCTGCTTGATTCAAAGCACTCAGCATGCCAAAGCAATGTAATTTGGGGTATCATTTTCTGAGCCTCAACAAAGATTTTGTGCTTCTTCAATTCCGGTGGCAGTGTGTTTAACTGCTAGAGTTGCAGGAACATTGTGCAAATAATAAATGCCAGCAGGGAGGGAACCTCAGCATGGGACAGACGAACAGGCCCCTCTTGCCACCTCACAGGCAAGACTGTTCATCCTCATGACCACAGGGCATCAACATCACCATTTAAGAACTGGTTTTCTGAAGCCAAAGCCTCTTTTCCAAGCTGGTATCAGTAATATTACAATTTAGTAACTGAATGCAGTCAAACCAGAAATTAAGTGTTTCCGGAAGTCCTCGCGGGCTGTCAGTCCTGCCCAGGTGTGTTTTTCTCTCAAGATTCTCTGGGAACATTGCTCTGTACTAGGTTGCTCTTCAAGTCTGTAGACCCTGCCTTGAAGGGTTCCTCCTGATGGGTTCTGCTGAGCCTGGTAGACCTCAACTGCTTATTTCTAGTGTATGATACTTTAGCATCTTCCACCTGCACCTATCAGCTATTTTTTAAAATAGCTATTCTGGCTGAGCACCGTGGCTCATGCCGGTAATCCTAGCACTTTAGAAAGCTGAGATGGGAGGATTGCTTGAAGCCAGGAGTTCGAGACCAGCCTGGGCAACAGAGTGAGACCTCCAGCTCTACAAAAAATCAAAAAAATAGCTGGATGTGATGGCACACCTGTAATCCCAGCTACTTGGGAGGCTGACATAGGAGCATCACTTGAGTCCAGGAGTTCAAGGCTACAGGGAGCTATGAACATGCCACTGCACTCTAGGATGGGTGGCAGAGTTGGACCCTGCCTCAAAAAAAAAAAAAAAAAAGCTACTTACTGTTCTTCTAGTCTTGTGTCTGTCTGTAGAGCTCAAATTTGAGAGGTGCCATGTTGAAATCTGCCCCTGCTTTGTAGGTCTGGCCTCCGAATCAGCTTCTGTGCAGAGGTGATCCCAGGGTTCCTCCCTACCATTTACAGGAAAAGGAGAGCTCAGGCAGGCTCAGGGTCCCACTGACTGTACCCTCACTCCATCTCCCCATCTTCACTTCACCACTGCCCTCTGGGGTATTTGGGGATGGCCTTCCAGGACAAGGGACATGCATCCCTGCTGTCCCGGGCAGGGAAAACCTCCAGTGGGTCCGCTGTTCATGGTGAGAGTCAAGTTCCAGATATCACCGGAGTACCACATGCTTGTTGTAGGCAATATAGAAAACAAGAAAAGAGCAGTGGCACACAGTTGGTTCTGCCCCTCAGAAATTACGACTGCAATTTGTGAAAAGCGCATCTCTAGAGGTGTATCTGCTTGAGAGTAGAAATGGGATTTCACTGTTTTAAAACACTTTTTTTTAACGTGTTAGAAAGATGTTCTCAATATGTTACTTTTTGCCGGAATCGTTCATCTCTCAGAACGTAACTCTGGTTGTGTTTTTCTGTTTCCTTATGTCCCATTGGCAGTTCATCTCAGAACAGGCCAGGAACTTCTGCAGATAACAAGTTAATCATAGCATGTCCATCCCAGTTGGCCGGTCTGCTTGCTCTCTCAAGGGCTAAACAAGCTGTGGCTGCTCTGGGGGTTGTAGTTCAGGGGGCCATCTTTCTCTTCCTACAGGTGTCAGCGGAAGCAGTGGCGGGTAGATCTGCCGGCCACCAGCGTGGTGATCACGTTTCACAATGAAGCCAGGTCGGCCCTGCTGAGAACTGTGGTCAGGTGAGGCCAGGAGATGCACCTGTCAGGGGTGTTAAGACATTAGCTGTGTCCCAGGCACAGTCAGGCCAGGGCTGTCAATGGGGGCTGCAGACAGGGTCTCCTGACTACTCTGCATAGGGTGCGATGGGTAGCTCCTCCAACCAAGGGTTAGGACCAAGATATGAGAATTTCCTACCCCAGGCTAAAAGTTTATACCCGTAAAAGACCTTATAAACTTTATCTTCTTGTCTTTTCTTAGTGTGCTTAAGAAAAGCCCACCCCATCTCATAAAAGAAATCATCTTGGTGGATGACTACAGCAATGATCGTGAGTACTGACACTGATTTCATCCCTGTGTCTGGTTCTTCTCTGGGCACCAGTCTTCCTGTAGTGTAGCGGGGGTGCTGATGAGGTGTGAACAAGCCAGATATCAGATCCACAGAAAGAAGAGGTGCCTCTGTGATGCCCAAGGAGATAATCGGCCCTCAGATGATTGAGAATGCTGTGGTTGAATGCAAAGCCCTTTATGAACTCCAGATTCAAAATGCTGTGCTTCTTTTCTTTTCCTAGCTGAGGACGGGGCTCTCTTGGGGAAAATTGAGAAAGTGCGAGTTCTTAGAAATGATCGACGAGAAGGTAAGATTCTTCTTAATTGAGTACCAAGACAGTTGAATTCTGACTTTTCCTGAGCCCAGTAATAACATAAAGAAGTGCTTTAGCTCAAAGAGCAATTAATTGTCTAGCTTTTTTTTCTATCTCCCTCTACCAGAGCCACTTGGGAGACTTCTCCCAGCAAACACAGGAAGGACATTAAAAGCTTGACTAATTGAAATTATTTGTATATTAGAGCAAGATCAAATTACATTTTTATTTATGTATTCAGAAAATTGGCTTCTTTCTTTCACAACCTAGGAGGTTTTATCAGTCCCTTGAGAACAAAAGTTTAGAAGAAAAACAAAGATTTAGCAATAAGAAGTTGAGTGACTCCATGCTCCAGGCATCTGATAAAATAACCGGGATTCAAGTTTGACAGCCTGCTGAAGGTGAACTATCCAAAAAGGGGAGAGAGTACTGCAATTATATGCTTATGCGATTTTGCAAATGCCAGCCTTGGAACCTTCTGTCAGTCTTATCTGTGCTGGAGCTGAGCTCATGAAGACTATTTTATTGGCAGTTAGAAGAGAGGCTGTAAAGGAGGAAAGTAGTACTTTGGAGTGTCTGGGAAGGAAGCTCCAGTCACAATGTAATTAACTTCCAGTGTGTCAGTACTGTTAGATACCCTGATGACTGAATTGTTAGGCTCCTCAATGGTCGGGAGAAATCTTTCAGAATAGGAAAATCTCAGAGCTTTGGAGCCCGTGCCACATTTGCTATTTAAGTCTGACTGTTGATCCGGGAGTGGTGATTGTATTCCTTGATCAGTGCAAAACTCTTTCTTCTCATTATATATACACTCCAGCTGGAGTCAAGGAGTGAAGTTTTTCTTACCAAGAATCTTACTGGCCAACACGGTGATTAAGCCTGTTAGAACAGCATCATATTTTAACCAACTAGCGTTATCAACCTAGACATTCAGGATACAGAAACAGTGGGATCAGCCTTGCCTTCTAAACAAGCTCTGTTTGCCAGACTCACATCAGTCCACCAAGCCTGGAATAAACCAAAAAGGGGACAATTTACTGCCCCCTAAACAACCTTCAAAATAACTTTACGAATTTAAACCCAAAGTATCTGCCATCCCACCCCATCACCTGGCACAGGCTTTAAAAAAAAAAAAAAAAGAGGAGAAGTGGGGAAGGAGGAAAGAGAGATAATGTTGGCACTGTAAATCACTTACTAGCCTTGTCTAATAGTGTCTTTGTCTTTAAACTGCTGAGAAATCAGAACAATGCTTCTCAGTATTAACTTTCCACTAGAATGTTCATTTGGGTTGAACCCATATTGATATGTTGGAGAAGGCATGAGAAAGGTGGGTTGCGAGAAGCCAGATTATGGGAAGCCTATATGAAATAGCTGAAGTCTGTAACAATTGAATGAGAAAATATGTGCACACTTGCACACACACTCATGTATATATGTACCTGTGTGTGTGTATAAGAGCCCATCTATTTAAGCATACACACAAAGTGCTTATAGTGATGCTGCTAGATGACAAAGTAAATTAATTGCCTAAAATATTACGGTAGTGAAAAAGCAGTCTTCGGATCAATATTCTGTGGATTTTATTGTGCATTGATTCTTAACCTAGCAATTTATTAGAAGCACCTAGGAAATTTAGGACCATATCTTGCCCTCATTCACAATTAAATAGAAATTTCTGGATTTCTGTGGGTGGGACGTGGGCAGCTGCATTTTTAAAAGCTGCTAAAATGATGCCGATGTACAGTGGAAGTTGAGAGCCTAGTACTTTCATTTTACAGATGGAAATACTAAAGCCTAAAGAGGCGAGGTGGCTTTCTCAAGGTCTTGCAGCTATTTAATGACAATAGTAGGAGAAAAACCATGTTAATAATGAGTTAAACCTTTTTCTCTGCATTTGTGGAGATAATCAAGTGGTATTTCTTTTTTAATCTCTTAATATGGTGAAATACATTGGTTGATTTTCAGATGTTAAACCAGCTTTGCATTCCTAGTATAAGCCACAGTTGGTCATGATACAGTATCCTTTTAATGTATTTTTGTTACGGATTTTTATACCTGTGTTCATGGGAAACATTGGTCTGTAATTTTCTTAAAATGTATTTTTCCAGTTTTGGCATTACTGTTTACTAGCCTTCTAAAACAAGATGGAAAGTGTGCCCTTCTATTTTATTTTCGAAAAGAGTTTGTATAATATTTTAATTATTTCTTTTTTAAATGTTTAATAAAATTAACCAATCTGGACCAGGACTTTTCTTTATGGAAAGATTTTCAGTAACTAATTCAGTCTTTTTAATGGATATAGACCTATTCAGATCTGCTGTTTCTTTTTGTGTCTGTTTTGGTGATTGTCCTTCAAGAAATTTTGTATTTCACCAGCGTTTTTATATTTACTGACACAAAGTTGCTTATGATATTGTCTCTTTTTTTACTGTTTGTCGGAGTAGTATTACTATTTTATTGATTTTGGCAATTTATATCTTCCTATTTTTTTCATCTGTCTGCTGTTCATCGACTGTTTATCTTTTAAAAGAACCAATGTTTGGCTTTTGTATTAGTCAGGATTCCCCAAAAGGACAGAACTAATAGGATAGATGTATATATAAATGAGAGTTTATTTAGGAATATTAACTCACACAGTCATGAGGTGAAGTCCCACAATAGGCCATCTGCAGCTGAGGAGCAAGGAAGCCAGTGCGAGTCCAAAACCTCAAAAGTGGGGAAACTGACAGTGCAGCCTTCAGTCTGTGGCCAAATGTCCAGTAGTCCCAAAGCTAAAGAACTTGGAGTCCAATGTTCAAGGGCAGGAAGCATCCAGCATGGAAGAAAGATGTGGGCCGGGAGACCAAGCCAGTCCAGTCTCTGTCTGAGTTCTTCTGTCTGCTTTCATTCTGGCTGTGCTGGCGCTGATTAGATTGCGCCCCCCCAGATTAAGGGTAGTTCATTTACATGTGGTGTAATCATTGCTATGATTGGGTTTGGGTCTGCTCTTTGGCTCTTTGTTCTCTATTTGTATCATGTGCATTTTGCTTTTTGTAACTGTGTTCCTACTTTCTTGCCTTCTTTTGGATTCACTGATTTTTTTGGTATTCCATTTGAATTATTCTTAGAGCTTTTCAGCAATACTTTTCATGTATGCACGGTTGCTCTGAGAATTACAACATACAGTTTTAACTTACGACAATCTGCTTAAGAGTCAATATCCATTTTGACTATTTCCATTTCCTTTCCTATGTACTATGTACTATCGTTATCACGTTTTACTTCTACATTGGTCTTAAACCCCACAATACAGTGTTACATTTTTACTTCAAATAGTCAGTATCTATTAAATAAGGAGAAGAATATGTGGATATGTTAAGCTTATCCTCATATTTTCCATTTGTAGTATCTGTTTCTTTCCATAGATTGGAGTTTTTATGTAGCCCAAATAATTTTGTTTAGAATTTTTTCTCATAGGCAACACAATCTCAGGTTTTATCTGAAGAATTCTTTTCTCCTTTGTTATTGGAGGCTATTTTCTCAGAGTAGAATCTGAGTTGACAATTTTTCTTTCAGCCTTTAAAGATTTCACTCCAGGCGGGGCACGGTGGCTCACGTCTGTAATCCCAGCACTTTGGGAGGCCGAGGGGGGCGGATCACGAGGTCAGGAGTTTGAGACCATCCTGGCCAACATGGTGAAACCTGTCTTTACTAAAACTACAAAAGTTAGCCAGGCATGGTGGCGTGTGCCTGTAGTCCCAGCTACTCGGGAGACTGAGGCAGAAGAATCGCTTGAACCTGGGAGGTGGAGGTTACAGTGAGCCGAGATCGTGCCACTGCACTCCAGCTTGAGTGACAGGGTGAGACTCCGTCTCAAAAAATTCATACTGCTGTTCCCTTGTATGTTGTAGGTCATTTCCTCTGGCTGCTTTTCGGGTTGTCTCTATATCTATAGTTTTTTTTAAAGCAATTTGATTATGATGTGCCTAGATTTCGTTTTCTTTATATTTATCCTGCTTCAAGTTTGCTGATGTAAATTGAATATGTAAGATGATGTTTTCCACCAAGTTTGGGAAATGGCTGGCCTTTTATTTCTTCATGTATTTTTTTCTGACTCATTCTTGAACTTCAGTTGCACATATGTTATACCACTTGATAATTGTCCCATAGAACACTAGACTTTTTCCCCCTTAATTTTTTTCTCTGTCCACCAGATGGATCTATTTCTGTTGTTCCATCTTCAAGTCCACTAGTCATTCTGCCATCTCCATTTTGATATTAAGACCAGTCAGTGGATTTTTCATTTCAGATAATTTCATTTTTAAGTTCTGGAATACCCATTTGATTCTTTTTTATAGTTTTTATTTCTTTGCTCAGATTCCCCACCCATTCACTCATTACAATTGTTGCCTTTGAGTTATTAAACATAATAGCTGCTTTTAAATTTTCCCCTGCTAATTCCAACATCTGGGTCATCTCAGGGTGAACTTCTGTTGGCTTTTTTTCTCTTTGGTGTCATCCCCATTTTCCTATTTCTTCTCATGTGTAGTGATTTTTTAATTTTATAATGGACATTGTGGATGATATGTTGTAGACACACTGAATTATGTTATCTTTCTCTAAAGAGTATTCATCTTTGTTATACTGGGCAGTTAAATTACCAGATGATGATGCTGAACTTCTGTAGGCTTTTTTTGTACTTTGCTAGCTTTGCTAGGATGAGTATGGGTTTTTTTTCTTGTTTTTTTTGTTGTTTGTTTGAGACAACGTTTCTCTCTTGTTGCTCAGGCTAGAGTGCAGTGGCGCGATCTTGGCTCACTGCAATGTCTGCCTCCTGGGTTCAAGCAATTCTGCTGCCTCAGCCTCCCGAGTAGCTGGGATTATAGGCGTGCGCTACCACACCTGGCTGATTTTTTGTGTTTTTAATAGAAACAGGTTTCACCACGTTAGCTAGGCCGGTCTTGAACTCCTGACCTCAGGTGATCCACCCGCCTCAGCCTCTCAAAGTGCTGGGATTACAGACGTGAGCCACCACGCCCAGCCATGAGTCTGTTTTTATGAGTCCCTTTTTCATGATACATAGTTTATATTCCTATGTGTGGTCTTTCTGAAGTTCCTATAGAAGAACTGAGGTCCTTACCAAGCATGTCATACTTGGCAGGACTCAAATTCCAAACTTCATTTTCTCTGCAGTGGATAGCAGCTGAAACTTAGTTTCTTCTGCCTTCTAACTGTTGCTTTTCATGTTGGCTTGTTCCTGCGTGGTTCAGGAGTCAGCCAAAGATTTAACAGAAGGTTATTGCCAGATTTGGGGCCTACCTCCTTTCCAGGATCTCCTCCTTCAGTTTCCAGATACCAGAAGCTCTGAACTCTCTATCCTCTGACAACTCAAGCCAATAAAGGCTGCATTGCAGTGGATTGGAGAGCATCCTCGCGGAAAACACCGTGTAAACATGGAGCTCGCTCAGTGTGATTTTCTTTTTTTAAGGGGTTGGGTCCTGTCTAGTTTCTGTCTGCTTCTGGCCTTCAAATTGCTGCTTTTTACATTTTGCTCAGAGTTTATAATTGTTTTCAGAGCAAAGGTTTGCCCAGTAGAAGTTGTTTTGCAATGATCACAACTTGAAATCTTTGGTCTTTTTCCCTGTTCTAGCATGCAGCCACATAGGAATCACTGAAAACCCATTTTGACTGTGGAAAAAAGTACTTAGCAGCCTTGTCCTCACAGATTATGAATAGTTGCATCGTCTTCACATAGAAAGCCCAGCATATATAGCAAAAGTCATTTATGACCACAACATCCAGGGATAAATAAACTATTATTTAATTGCATTTTTTAATTTATTTTGAGACAGGGACTCACTCTGTCACCCAGGCTAGAGTGCGGTGGCCCAGTCATGGCTCACTTCCCAGGCTCCAGTGATCCTCCCACCTCAGCCTCCCAAGTAGCTAGAACCACAGGCACAGGCCACCACCCACAGCTAATTTTTGAAATACACTATTTATATTTTGTGTCATAATGAACATGCACATTATTAACAGATCACAAGTATATAAATTGGAGATTTTCCAATAGTATAACTAATTTTGTGTAAAAGGCAGACAGCAGGACTTTGCAACTTACATTATTTGGCTCCTGATAAGTCTTAGAAGACAGAGATAGTCACAACACTGTTACAAATATTATCACCACTAAAATCACCACCATTAGCACTGGAAGTCTCTGGGTGACACCTTCCTTAGCCCAGTTAGTTAGAGAACTGTTGCTGTGTCAGAGGAATGTAGTTTTAAAAGTTCCACGTTTTGGTTACTTGATAAAGGAGACTTCAGTAATGTAAAGGCCTTTCTCAGGAGACAGTAGTTCTAGGAACACTGCCCTCCCAGTCATCCAATATAACTATTGAAATTAAAAGTTCTGACAGTCATCTGTCTTGGTGACCAGGGGGCAGTTTTGATCTCATCCAGCAAGTTTACAGTAACCTCCGTGCCCAGAAAGCAGGCTGCAGAGCTGCGGGCAGGGAGGCGTCGCCGGTCGGCGCGGGAGCGTGCTGGCCCCGTGGCTTCTCTCTCCTGACGTGCTTTCCACCTCGCCTCCACAGGCCTGATGCGCTCACGGGTTCGGGGGGCCGATGCTGCCCAAGCCAAGGTCCTGACCTTCTTAGACAGTCACTGCGAGTGTAATGAACACTGGCTGGAGCCCCTCCTAGAGAGGGTGGCCGAGGTGAGATGACAGGGGCGGGGAGGAGGGTCAGGTGGTGGGTGGTTGGTAGAGGGGACAGAGGAGAGCATGGCCCACGGGAGGTGTAACGCGGGGAGTGGGGCGTCAGGGCTGGCAGGGGCTGAGCTCGCCATCTGCAGTTTTCCTTGACAGAAAGAAAATGCCTTTGGGGCATTGTAGAAAGACTGTTTTACTGGCTGTAGGAATCCATCAGTAGGAGGAACCATCCGTTGACAGGTAGGAGGTGAGGATCAGCAGAGGCTGGTGAGAGCCTGATTAGTTGAAGGCAGCCCTTTTCACGGGAGCAGTTTCCTTCCCCGCCTACAGCTTCGCAGAGTGCTTAGAACATTGCCCGGCATCTAGTAGGTGCCGTCTCTTGCAGCTCGAAGAGCGGGGGGTGCTGGGGAAGCTGTTCCTGGGGCCACCTCTCTGCTCTTAGTGAGTAGGGCAGATTAGCCCAGCAGGCTTCCAGGCTCCTGTGAGAGAGTGGGGCGGCTAGGAAGCATACAGGGACCAGTGGGGTTGTCAGAGGGTGATCCGCGGCTACTCCTCTGCACCTTCTGCTTTCTAGAACATCATTCCTAATATTACATTTGGCCTTTTGTCATTTCTCTTGTCTTCTGCTTGTTTTATTGACTTTTCTTTCCTTCCTACCAAGAAAGCACTTCCTTGGGGGCGATAAAGCAAACTTAATGAAAGGAAATAGAAAATGAACAAGTAGTTCTGCCTAAGCATAGCAAGGGTAGCTGATGGGCTTTGAGTCATGGAATACTAAGTAACCACAAGCTACTAGGAATTATGAAAATCGTATTCACTACCCTTTATCAAGTTGAGGCTACATGATGGACCTTTTTTATATGTTACCTTTGATGCACTTGTTATCTCCGTTTGACAGGTAAACAGGCTGGGGTTCGGGGAACTTTAATAACGTATGCAAGATCATACAGGTGACAGAGCCAGGATTGCAAAGCCAGTTCCATTAAATCCCTATCTGAGCCCCTCTCTTAATACATATGCACACAGCTATATCCAACAAGAACCCGCCCTGAGATCCCCACCCACCCCAACCCCACAACTTCTTGCTCTCTCTAGCTATGCTCCGCCAGGCTATCTCTCAGGGAAGCGCAGTCAAAACCAAAACTCCAAAACTGCCATGGCAGTGTTTGGGTTTGTGAAGGCCACTCAGCTCTGTGGTCAGATTGTCAGAACTGCTTTGAACACCCGCTCCTAAATGAAGGAGAGAAAGTGCCAAGCCTATTAACTTTCACTAAATCTAGCCTGATGAAACAAAATGTAAGGTAGATTATATTCTTTAACTCCTACACCTAGAACCAGACTGAGCCGGGCAAGGAAAGTTGTGTTCTTCTCTGCCTTCAATGCACCACACAGGTTACTTTTCCCTGTAAATTTGCACCTGGGCATTACGGAGCTTTGCAGTGTTCGCGTGTTCCTAATTAGCATGATCCTTCACCTGTTCCTCTGATGTATGTTTTTAGCTCTGCTGGTTATGTTACTAAGTTGTATTTCTAAATCTTTCTTCTGGCCAATAAGGGTTCTCTAAGTGGCTCAAGGAAAGCACTTGCTCTTTGGTTAACTGTCAGCATGGGGCACAGTCCAGGGTCTCTCACCAGCATCTGTCATTTGAACTTAAAGAGATTAGAGACGTTAAAAGGCCTTATGTTCACAAACTCTTACCAGAATGATGACAATGTGGCATAAAGAAATGGCTCAGTCTAGGGGGATTTTTTTTTTTTTTTTAATATAGAATCACAGGGGCTGGGTGCGGTGGCTCACACCTGTAATCCCAGCACTTTGGGAGGCTGAGGCGGGTGGATCACCTGAGGTCAGGAGTTCAAGAAGAGCCTGACCAACGTGGAGAAACCCCGTCTCTACTAAAAATACAAAAATTAACCGAACATGGTGGCACATATCTGTAGTCCCAGCTACTCGGGAAACTGAGGCAGGAGAATCACTTGAACCCGGGAGGGGGAGGTTGCAGTGAGTCAAGACGCCATTGCACTCCAGCCTGGGCAACAAGAGTGAAACTCTGTCTCAAAAAAAAAAAAAAAAGATAGAATTACAGATAAGGCAAACTTAGAATCTGGAAATCTCTAGTTGATTTGGTTAACCTTCTGCTGTGATAATATCGGTACTTAGCACCTCTCGCACATACACTCCCACATAGAAATATATTCCTAATTTTGATGTATGGGCATTTTAGCAGTGATTCCATTCCTCAGGTTTACTGCAGCTCACAAATCACTAATGGTATTTGGGCAAACAGAAAATGACCCTTGGGACACAGCAACACCGTTTTCACCTTTAGCTGGGTGAACTGATGGCTACCTGTCCCATAACCATGGGTGTCTCCACTCCTCAAGTGACTCCTGCTACACACCCACTCCTGACCTCCCTCCCTGCCTCCCAGCGGGCCACAGCACATCTGTGGATGGCCAAGAGCAAGACCTTCTGGGTCTGGGTCTGGGTGGGGAGGCTGGGTTCTTGCGGGCCTAGGGTAATAGGTAGTAAGGGCCAGTCGGGTTTGCCCTGTGCCTGCCTAACACTAATGCCTTCTATGGCTGGGCGGGTTTTTTGTTTCGCTGGATTTTGATAACTACTCCTCTCTTTGTTTGTATTTTAGGACAGGACTCGGGTTGTGTCACCCATCATCGATGTCATTAATATGGACAACTTTCAGTATGTGGGGGCATCTGCTGACTTGAAGGGCGGTAGGTGTCTGTCATGGTGCCCCTCCTAGCTCGTCCCATCTACACCACCATCTGATCACCACTCCCTCTCATTGTCAGGAGTGACAGTGACAACAGTGTTCACGCCGTAGTGTGTGTTCTGAGTAAAAAACCCCTGTGTGCTTAACAAGTAGGACTTCATAAAGAGAAAAAAATAGGCTTGCTCCCTTAAAGAGCTTCCTGGGTTTCCCTTTCGCCTCTTCCTTGACCTTCTGTCGCTTTTGCGAGCCATGTGGTTCCATGAACAGATACGGCATCCTTTTTAATCAGAGATGATGAAGCCCTCCTTGCAGGAGTCTGGAGTGAGAAACTTCACGGAGCTGAGGCTTTGTGGGGTGCAAGGGGCTGGAGCCTGTCTTTGCTTTCTCTGCTCACCCTGGCTATTTCTCTGACAGGCTGGTCTCTTGCTGGTTGCTCAGATGGACACCTGTGGCATCCTCAGTCCCCTCTCCCTCACCAGGCCCACGTGTGACCCTGTTCTGCTGATACAGCCCCTTGCATATATCATGGTTTATTTTACCCCTCTTTCCCAGCCCAACACCTGCTTCATCCCGGTCCCCTTTCGTTGGAATGACCACACCAGTTTCCTGTATGTCCTCACGGCACCTGCCCTGGAGCCCCCAAGAGCACTTTGTCTCTTCACCCTCTTAAAAATTATCAAAGACCTCAAAGAGCTTTCATCTGTGTGAAGATGGACTATTCTAGATAGACACTGAGCAGAGGGTCAACTGATGGTCTAACATCAAAAAAAAAGACAGTAAAACTATAAAATAGGGCCTTGGCCAGGTGCAGTGGCTCACGCCTATAATCCCAGCACTTTGGGGAGGCTAAGGTGGGAGGATTGCTTGAGCCTAGGAGTTCGAGACCAGCCTAGGCAACATAACAAGACTCTTGTCTCTATTAAAAAAAAAAAAAAAATTAGCTGCGTGTGATGGCATGCCAGCTACTCAGGAGGCTAAGGTGGGAGGATCACTTGAGCCTGGGAGGTCAAGGCTTCAGTGAGCCATGATCAAGCCTGGGAGACAGAGTGAGACCCTGTTTATTTGTACACTGACAAAGCCTCACTCCCTCCCCAGCTACCTCCCTCGGTCCTACCTGCCTCTTGCAGGCCCCATCATCATGGGCAGGCCGTTTTGCCTCTGCTCCTCAGCTTCCCCATCTGGGAAATGGGATGATAATTGTGCTGGCCACACACGGCGTAATGGAATTAGACATCAGCGGGAGGGCGGGCATGCTTGGAGGACTGTACCTAGGATGGGAAACATAGCATTCGGGAAAGATTCCCAGCGAATGGTAAGAAGTAAAATGTTTGGGGACATTAAAGAGGAGGCATCCTTAGATAGCTAGAAAGCCTGGCTTTCAGAATGTTTTATTTCCCCAAGTATTGGAAGATCTGAGATCTACCGGGCTCTATTTCTCCCAAAGCAGCTGTGTATGTCAGAGCAGGGGCAAGAACAGCCAGGTGCTCCGTGTGGGGGTGCAGGGCTTCTGGGTCAGAGGAATGGGACCACATTCACCCAAAGAGCTTTTTATGAAATTCCTTTAAAAAAGGATGCCATTCTTAGCAGATCTTTAATCTGCTATAGCCTCTCTCTTTGGACCAAATTAATAAAGTAAATAATAAGATAATAGTAAACCTCAAAAAAATAAAGGAAAGGTTATGTTGGCTCATCCTTAACCTTCTCTGTTGGTGAAACAGCCAGTACATTGTTCCTCTGGTTTGCCTTCATGGCCTTTGAGGCACCGTGATAAGAGCCAGCTCAGGGACCCGTGGGGGTCTCCTCTCTATGCATTCCTGTCCCCACTGCCGGGGCCCCTGTGCATTTCCCTGTCTCTTTGTCTGAGGCCACTCTATCCTGCAGTGAGGGGGCTGGGAGACCTCTTTGTCCAGAGCCATAAATTCTTGGCCAGCCCAGGATGCTCAGAAACCCCCACCCACCAGCCTTCAGTCACTGGGGCTGTCAGAATGGACAGACTATAAATTCAAAGCATGCAGACAAATCCAAACTTGAACATTGCAAAAGCCCTGTTGACAAAAAGCCTGATGGCAGAGAGCTTAAGAGGATTGAAAGATGCATGGCCCTAGAGTCATTAGGTTTGGCTATCAGACCCTTGGAATTGGAAATGCAGCACCATGAGCCATGTGTTTGGCAAGAAGTGGCCTCCTGATGCACCAGGACAGCTTCCGCAGGTGGGGCCTGCTGGCCTCCAAGAGGCACTATGCATGTGACCCTGGAAGCAAGAGCAAGACCTGAGGCCCTGCAGATGCCCACAACCAAGTCCAGGTACAGGGTTCAGGCTCTTCCATCTTCAGGTGTCTGGATTCCAAAAATGAAATGCAGCAGGTGCCAAATATATCTGAAATTGAAGCTTATTTGCCCAGCTTGGCAACTTCCACTGGCTCATTTTCCCTTAAAGTTTTCATATTCCCAGCGTGTTCCCACTCCATTCTTGCTGCAAATACAGTCTGAAGTTTGCTGGCCCAGGGGACTGACAAAGCCTTGTTCCCTCCCCAGCATTCCCTTCGCCTGGGGCAGTGTTGGAGGTGCCACGGCTTGATTTTCATAGCGGATGCTCTTTGTCCTCACATCCTTACGGGCCTTGGACATGCCCTGGTGATCACCACACAGACCCCAGTTCTCTCCCCATATTTCATTTGTTCTTATGCATTTCAATATTAGAAAAGCCTGACTCACATTTTCTTTAGGGAGGGGCAGGGAGATTTCAACATTCACCCTCCCTGCCGGTCTCTCTCTTCCAGTTACACCCACGCCCCCAGTCCCCTTCTCTCTCCTCCACACCTTCTTTTTTGGCTTTGTTGTGGTTTTCATTGAGTTCTGTCCAAACGTCGAATATTTTTAAGCTGTGAGGAATGGGGGTGTCGGGAGGAAGTGGCCAGTCTCTTGTCAACACCCTGTTTCTTTTCCTGGCTGGCAGGTTTCGATTGGAACTTGGTGTTCAAGTGGGATTACATGACGCCTGAGCAGAGAAGGTCGCGGCAGGGGAACCCAGTCGCCCCTATAAAGTAAGTGCCAGCATCCTTCAGGGTGCCTCTCCCGGATGAGACCCCAGGTTCTGGCTTCTTTGCTGGGCCTGTGCCGTCTGGAGACCCAGTGGGGCCGTTCACCTTCTGCCCTCCCGTTTCCCCTCAGCTCAAAGATGAGCACCTTCCGCCAGGTCATAGAATAAAGTCCTTGGAGATTTCTTTTCCACAGTCAAAGTCTCACATAGGTTTCTAAGGTGTATCTGCTGGGTCTGTGCATTCCTGTGTGTTGATACTGTAGAGCATTTCTGTAGCCGAGCAGGATCTCCAAGCCGACCCCAGGCCCAGGAGACTTTCTGCTGCCACTGCCCAGCAGGCTTTTGCTGTCCTGCAGAGGAGGGAACCCATGCTCATGAAGCCCATGCTTTAAGATTCCCAGGCCAGGCAGTGGGCTTCCTGGTTGAGAGTCAGGATGCCTTCTCTAGCTGAGGAGAGAACGGGGCCACCTGTTCCAAGTCGGCACACGGTTAAGTGAGAGAGCCTTCACAGAGTACTTAGCACTGAAATATATTTGCTGACATTTAGCCAACATCTGCAGTGTGCTATAGACCTTCCCAGCACTTTACACTGAATTCGCACAGCGTCTCTTCTGGGAACAAAGTAGGGAGCTCAGCGTACATCTGTTGTCAGCCGCTTCCTGGGGTGATGAAGTGAGGAGCATGGTGGGTTCCCTTGTAGAAGGTGGAGCCTCATCTATGATAGTGATAATGAGAGCTGGTACTCTGGAGCATTTCCCAAGTGTGCTCAGGGCTTTATGCCCATGATTTTTTGCAGTCCTCGTAGCTACCCTATAAGGAAACTGACACACAGAAAGGCCGAGTTCTTTGCCTCTGCCAGCGTGTCAGGGAGTGATCCAGCCCCAGCAGTCGCTCCCGCATAGGGGAGGCTCAGTCCAGCCCCTGGCACTGTGGGAACATCCAGGCAGGAACAGTAGGGGAGGCATTTGAAGGCAGCAATGGTGAAGCAGAGAGAGCGGCACCCTGGGCACTGAGCAGAAAACAGTGGCAGTGTGGCTGTTCCGAAGGTCAGCTTATTGTTAGAGAATCAAGGCTTGGCCTTGGCGCAAGGGTGCTGGCAATCTAACCTTGACTTTGCCCTCTCCTCCCTCCCCCCTCTTCTTTCTGCCTCTTTAGAACCCCCATGATTGCTGGTGGGCTGTTTGTGATGGATAAGTTCTATTTTGAAGAATTGGGGAAGTACGACATGATGATGGATGTGTGGGGAGGAGAGAACCTAGGTATGTACAAGCCTCGAATCTCAGGACAGAGAAGTGCCTCAGCTCTGCAAAAGGCAGGGTGCCAATTGGAAAAAAAATTTAAAAGGCTTCAGAGTGACCATTCACTGGGCTTAATCGATCCTTGCAAACACATACGTAACACCCCTTTTGCTCTTGAAAGTCTAATGGGTTGGGCATTAAAATGTGCCTCCCTAAGTTAGAGTGGAGGATGCCAGAATACAGATAAAGTCTTTGAAGGGAATGCAAACTCTTTCAAGTCATCTGAACCCAAGTGTTTGTAATGCAGGCTTGCAGAAACAGAGGGAAACGGTCCAGGAGCTTGGATTCATGCTGAGTGGTGGAGAGTGGAAAATGAACCCTGGCAAGGCTGGTGGGGTTGAATTGAAATCATGAAAATCCGATGGGGCAGGGAGGCCTTGGCACTTAATCCCTTCTCGACTACCTTTGTGAATGGTTCTCATTTGTTTTTTTGTTTGTTTGTTTGCTTTTAAATACCCCGTGCAAATCATTTTTACCCCGGTTTAGGCACAGTGAAATTTTATACATTGTGGTCTACATTGGTAGCCTTATATTTACTGCATAAAAGATAAAAAGATTTGTTTTGTTTGTTTAGGGTTTGGGGTGGGGGAGTTCTCGTTTTTTGCTTGTTTCAATTAAAGCCTTTTGTTTCAAATGCTTGGCTTTCTGAGCGAATTCTCCTGGGCTGCTGCGTGTTGTTAACTTACATTCGTCCTTGGGTGAGTGTACCCTGGAGGACAGGGGAGAAGGAAAGAGGAAAAAATGAGGCCACTCATTTTTCATAGTTTAAGACTTTGAAAATTTTTGTTACTTTAAAAGACAAGACTAGCCTAGCCTATTATTTTTCCATTGTTTTATGATGTTGAAGTCAGTGATACCATCTCATCTTTGAGGATTTCTCTGCCTTGGTTTGATGTTGAAAGCTTCTTTAGGCTCAATTACTATACTGCGCGGGTGGAGGGACTGTGAGTCAAATTCCTTTTGGGTTTTTGTTTTAAAATGATACATCAACCTCTAGGGAAAGCTTGAATTGAAGTCATTTGAGTACAAAAGGCTTCAGAATTGTTAACCCTCTAAAGAGAGTTCTGTCACCCTATTCCATGGATATCTCCTACTGGTTTAGTGGAAATCCAGCAGGCCAGGGTCACCCAGTAGGGCAGCGTGTCACGTAGGTGGCCACTTTTCAAAAGCAGTGTGGTTTTCAGAAGTGTGCATACCATTAGCTGAAATGAGGCATCAGCCAGCGTTTTGTGTCATCGTGTAGGAAGAGTGTTGATTTAAATATCTAAGGAGGCATTCACCCAGAGACTGGGGGGAAGATTTGTTGTAAGGAGCTGCTTTATTGTGGTTTGGTGTTTGTATTTATTATGTAGCTGTGCCTAGGAGGTTCTAGGGCCTGAGCGGTTCAGGTTGGGGTGAGGATGAACCCTGCAAGCAGGAGCACATCTCTGCCCAGGAAGGCTGGGCCGTCTTTCCCTCCGTGACGGGCTCTCCTGGGTTATGCCAAGGACTTGGACTCCCCGTGAGGTTCAGTGGGCTCAAAGGCTTCCACATGAGAAGGCCATGCCATGAGCCTTTCTCCTTAGCACTGCTCTGGCTTCTGCTTCTGGGGGCCGTGCACACTGCTAGCCATTGCCGGCCTGAGGGGCCTTTGTGGGTGTGCATTGGGAGAGGTGTGTGGTTCAGAGAGGCCCAAGTAAGATCCAAAACTACCTCCTTAATGTGTGCCCCACTGGAATGACCAGAGCTTCCCATTTTCCTAATCATGTAAGTCCTTATGTCACTTAAGCAATTAAAACGGAGGACTAAGAACTTAACCCTTAGCTCTAACGACAGGGGGTAAGGCTCCTTGGGAGCATTATCTGTGCTTCTCTACATCCCTGCGGTGCAAGGATGGTGCTAAGTACTTCCATGGAATCATCTCTCTGTGCTTTCTTAACGGAGTGTGGTCTGCAGAGGGCATGCACCTTGCCCAGGGTCTCAGAGCCAAGATGTAAACACTAACTGCCTAATTAAAAAGCCATTGAGTTTTACTAATTATCCTCAAAGTTATAGGGTTCAAATGAAATCAGCGCAGAAGGTAACTGTAGTTGTACTTAGCCTTGAAAATATCCCAGAAAAGCCCTGGAAGGATCCCTCGTTGGCTTAACAGACTCACCATAGAGAAGCCAAGGGGATTTCCTAGTCCCGGATTCTAAATCTTCTGGTGAGGCAAATGGATATTTAAATTTTATTTTCTGAAATAGAGACAACTTTTTTTTTTTTTTTTTGAGGTGGAGTCTCACTCTGTTGCCAGACTGGAGTACAGTGGCACATTCCTGGCTCACCACAATGTTTGCCTCCCGGGTTCAACTGATTCTCCTGCCTCAGCCTCCCAGGTAGCTGGGATTGCAGGCGTGTGCCACCACGCCTGGCGCCACCACGCCTGGCTAATTTTTTGTATTTTTAGTAGAGACAGGGTTTCTCCATGTTGGTCGGGCTGATCTCGAACTCCTGACCTCTGGTGGTCTGCCTGCCTCGGCCTCCCAAAGTGCTGAGATTACAGGCATGAGCCACCGTGCCTGGCCGACAACTTCTTAGGTTGTGTGGGAACTGTAAAAAGTAAAGTCAGAAACTTTGACTGCTTATGCTTGTGTGATTGTAACCATACGTTTTCTATTACTACAAGAGAGCTGCTTATTAAAGCCCCGTAACAGCTGCATGGATCACCCATTCCTAGTGAGTGACGCATTAGTTTGCTGGACCCAAGTAGAAACTCATGGTGTTCTGACCCCTGTGTTGTATTTCCTGCCGTGTTCCTGGCAGTCTGGGCACCTGTTGCCGTAACTAGGCTGACTGCAGGATTTGCCATCAATCCACTGTATGGTCTGTGATGGACCAACCCTTTTTATGATCTGTCTGCATTTGGTGACAGTGGCTGCACACACTGTAGATTTTATATGTGAATATTTGTACTTCTTTTAATTTGTTAATTGAAGATAATAATTGTGCATATTCATGGGGTACATAGTGATGTTTTAATACATATAATGTATGGTGATCAGATCAAGGAAATTAGCATATCTGTCATCTCAAACATGTATCATGTCTTTGTGTTGAGAACATTCAGTATCCTCTTTCTGGTTATTTGAAACTATGTAATATATTATCAGTCCCTAGAGTCAACCTACAGGGCTGTAGAACACAAGCAGGATCCCTCTTCTCTAGCTATAATTTTGTATCCTTAAACAAATCCCTACTCCTTCCTTCCCAGCCTTTACTGTCCTCCATTATACTTTTTACTTCTATGAGATCAGTGTTTTTTAGCTTCCATGTATGGGTGAAAACATGGTGTTCAACTTTCTGTTCTTATTTCACTTAATTTCCTGGGAATACTGTCCAGCCAGAAAAAGAATGAAGTCCTGTCATTCACAGTAACTGTTGATTTTTGTCCTGCCTCCCTAACATGTTCTTAGGGATCTTAGATGATACAGAGGAAAATTCCCTTTTGTATTATACAAACCTTGTGAAGAAAAACTGGTTTTTGCCTTTCAGAAAATCCTATCTTAGTTTTTCTGTTGAATCTGTTTCTTGCATTCAGTCAGACCGCTGACTCAGACTCCAGTCACTCACCTAGTCAGTGGTGATACGGGCAGGTACCTGGTCGGAAGGTACCTGTGTGTCACGAAAGAAGCACCAGTCAGTCTAGGCTTCTACTAAGTTCCAGTGGCCAGGGCAGTCTGTGTGTTTAAGTAGGTATGGGTAGTGCCTAGCCCTGCACGTCTCATTCCTCCTGCAGATCAGTTCTATGTGGAAGCAGGTGAACAGCAGCCTTCCCCAAGGAGCATTCCACCTGGGCCAGTTGGTTACTGACGGGTCCAAGCCTGTGAGCAGTGTGGAGATATCAGTCAGTTACTTGACTGTCTTTGATCACTACCATAGTCCTTCAGGCAGTCCCTAAGTCCATGGTCCATAAGTCCAAACTCTGCCAGGAGGCTTGAGCCTGCTAATGCACAGGGACTTGTATTTAATAAGCTTTGCCATTTGAGGGAAGGGATTATTTTTCCCTGGATGGGAAAAGTCAAGATGCATCCTGGGGTTCAGTGTGTTAAAAATAAGTTTTAGAGAAAGATGACATATATGGTTGTCTAGAATATGTACCAATAAAGCTTAATTGTACATATTTATATACCTCAGTGTTGCCTTTTCCCACAGTGTTGATACTAAGCAAGTGCAAATGATCGTGAGCCAGCTAGTGAGGAATTCAGCACAAGTGTTTCATCTCTCAGTAGTTGTGATGCTACTGGGTATACATGATCTTATGCCAGGAGGCCTAGATATTTACAATAGGCCAAGAAGCATTCTTGTCTCAAGGTTTCTACTCCACCTCTGAAAAATATTTCCCCATGAACATCCTTTCTTGATTGTATTGTGGTCCAGAGATCCAAGTGTGTCAGATGTCTCTCCTGTAGAGTTCTGGATCAGGTTCTGGAAAGAGGAAGGTCCTTATCAGGTCTTCTTCAACAGCAGAGGGCAGGGGAGCCCCATGATGGGATGGTGGGGGGGCCTGTGTACCTGCCTGGCATGTCTGCTGTTGCAGAGCAGCGTCCCAGGCTCTGCCAGTCACCCATGTCTTGTTCATCATCTCAGAGATCTCGTTCCGCGTGTGGCAGTGTGGTGGCAGCCTGGAGATCATCCCGTGCAGCCGTGTGGGACATGTGTTCCGGAAGCAGCACCCCTACACGTTCCCGGGTGGCAGCGGCACTGTCTTTGCCCGGTAAGTAGTGAAAGGCTGAGCGGGGTCCAAAACATTGCTGACCACCCTGAAGGCAGGACTTGACCTTGGGCTGTTTGAGGGCAGATGTCCTTCGGTGGGTGTGGTGCATTTATGCAATGGAATACCACTTAGCAACTGAAAGGCGCAGTCCACGGATGCAGGATACAGCCTGGGCGCCTGAAAGGCACGGTCCACGGATGCAGGATACAACCTGGGCACCTTTCCAGGAGAAGCAGTTACATACATGATTCCACTCATGTCATAGCCTCATAAAAAGCGCAGCTCTAGTGATGGGGGCCAGACCAGTGGTGGCCAGGAGCTGGGATGGCAGGGAAGCAGGGAGTGTGACTGCAGAGGGGCAGCACCAGGGATGTTTGGGGGAGGGACAGAGCTGTTCTATCTCCTGGTTGTAGTGGTAATTGGACAAATCTTCATGGGCATGAAGGCTCTTGGAACTGTACACCACCCCCAAAAATGTTATGGGAAAATTTTTTAAAGAAGAAAGCTCATTTTTTTTTATATATATAAAACCATTCAAGGTACAATTAAAAGCAACATTGTCTTAGCCCATTTTACGCTTCTCTAACCAAATACCACAGACTGGGTAATTTTAAATCAACAGAAATTTATCGACTCGTAGTTCTGGAGGCTGAGAAGTCCAAAATCAAGGTGCTGGTGTCTGGCGAGGGTCTTCTTAATGTGTAATCACATGGCAGGAGAGGAAAGAACAAGAGGGGGCCAAATTCTCCCTTTTGTAATAACATCAATCCCACCCATGAGGGTGGAGCCCTCATAGCATAGTCACCTCTAAAAGGTCACCTCTTAAAGGCCTCACCTTGGCTGGGCGTGGTGGCTCGTGTCTGTAATCCCAGCATTGTAGGAGGCCAAGATGGGCAGATCACCTGCGGTCAGGAGTTTGAGACCACCTTGGCCAACATGGAAACCCCATCTCTACTAAAAATACAAAAACTAACCAGGCGTAGTGGTGGGCGCCTGTAATCCCAGCTACTTGGGAGGCTGAGGCAGGAAAATTGCTTGAACCCAGGAGGTGGAGTTTGCAGTGGGCCAAGATCACGCCACTGCACTCCAACCTGGGCAACAGAGTGAGACTCTGTCTCAAAAAAAAAAAAAAAGAACAGCCTCACCTCTTAATACTGTTACAATGGCAATTAAAGTTTAACATGAGTTTTGGAGGGGATAGACATTCAAACCATAGCAAATATTAAAAGTCAAGCTGTACTAAATATGTATACCACAAGACATCATGATACAGAGTCACGATTCTTGATGGCCAGTAGATATAGTTTAGTAAACATGAAGATGCCAACAGAAGGGCTTTCTGAAAGTACAATAGCAAGTAGCCATTCTGTCAAGCCGAGTGTTCTCCTAGGGAATTCTCTTACGTGCTAAAGATAGAACATTGTACAAGCCAGACCTCAGGGAGCTTGCCTTCTCTTGAGTGTAGACAGCAAAACACACAGCTAACTAAGGTAATTTCAAACAGTAATCAATGCTGTGAAGAAGATAAAATGCAGTCATGTGCTCAGGCATGATTAGGACAAGCAGAAGGAGAGGTTTTCAGGTTAGGAGAACCCTTGAGGAGGTGTTACGTGAGTTCAGACTTGAAAGGTGGGAGGAGGTCACTCTGGGACCGCGAGGAATTGGACTCCCTGTAGGAGGAGCAGATCCGGGCTGCTGAGGTAAGAGTGCATTTGGCACATCGGCAGAATGGAAGCCAAGGGTGGCTGGAACCTAGAGAGTGAGGGGACAGTGCACAGGAGCAGAAGAGCTAGACGGGCCCAGGCCGTGCACCTTTGCAGGTCATGGGAAACGTTGGATGTTATTTGATTCTGGAGGAAACCATTGGGGCTTTTCAGCAGTGCCCGATGTCTGTTTTATGCTTTGGAAAGGTCCGTGTGGTTGCTGGTCAGAGGGTGGCCAGGAGGTGACACTATGGTGAAACTATGGTACGAGTGTCCCCTCCACTTTTGGAGCCAGAAGCAAGGGTCCTGTGAGCACTGTTGGAGTAGCCCAGGCCAGAGATGTGATGCAGTCATGCACCTGTAACAGCGTTTCGGTCAGTGGCAGCAGCCCCTTAAGATTATAGTACCGTGTGTTTACCTTTTCTATGTTTAGATACACAAATACTTACCATTGTGTTACAGTTTCCTCCAGTGTTCAGGACAGTCACCTGCTCTACACGTTTGTAGCCTGGAAGCAATAGGCTGTACCATGTAGCCTAGGTGTACATTAAGAATACACCATCTAGGTTTGTGTAAATACACTCTATGATGTTCGCGCAATGACGAAATCGCCTAAGAATGCATTTTTCAGATTGTGTCCCTGTCATTAAGCAGCACCTGGCTGTACCTGGAGCGGGTGTGTAGCAGTGGAGATGGGGTCAGATCCAGCTCCATGGTGAGGCAGGCAGTTGTTTGCTAATAGGTTGGCAGAGAGAAGGGACGTAGAGCAGGGAATTAATTTAGGGTGATGCCCAGGAGCTTTGTTACACAACTGTGCTGGCGTGCTGCCCCTACTGAAATAGGGAAAGCCTTGGGGTGGGGGTAGGGGTGGGAATTGCTAGCTTATCTCTTGTCTAGTTTTTCTCTTGAGACAGTCTTGCTCGGTTGCTCAGGCTGGAGGGCAGTGGTGCGATCTCAACTCACTGCAATCTCCACTTCCCGAGTTCGAGAGATTCTCCTGTTTCAGCCTCCCAAGTAACTGGGATTACAGGCATGTGCCACCATGCCCGGCTAATTTTTGTATTTTTAATAGAGACGGGATTTTACCATGTTGGCCAGGCTGGTCTCAGACTCCTGACCTCAGGTGCTCTGCCCACCTTGGCCTCCCAAAGTGCTGGGATTAGAGACATGAGCCACCATGCCCAGCCATTTTTAAACTTTTTTTTTTTTTTTTTTGAGACAGAGTTTCAATCTCATTGCCCACACTGGAGTACAGTGGTACGATCTCAGCTCACTGCAACCTCCGCCTCCTGGATTCAAGTGATTCTTCTGCCTCAGCCTCCTGCGTAGCAGGGATTACAAGCATGTGCCACCACGCCCAGCAAATTTTGTATTTTTAGTAGAGACAAGGTTTCTCCATGTTGGCCAAACTGGTCTTGAACTCCTGACCTCAGGTGATCCGCCCACCTCGGCCACACGCCTGTAATTGCTGGGATTAAAGGCGTAAGCCAACGTGCCTGGCCATCTTTAAACTTCTTAAAAGTACAGATTATACAATATACCTATTATACAGAAGTCAGATTTTTAGGACAGGGAATCTGATTTCTGAGAAAACTTTAATAGAAGCCAAAGTAACAAATAATGCTTCTGACCAAATTATCTTCTCTCAAAAAGTATGTTTCTTCACAAATGTTGAAGCTTCGTTTTTGTTCTTTATTAAAAACAAAAATATGATCTTACACAATAAGCTTTACAAAATCGAACAAAAACGTGGATATATGTGCTTTTTCCTGGGGCAGCATGAGATTCTTTATAAAACATATTAGACACCCCACACCAAAGCCTCCCAGCAAACAGTGGGATTTCAGAAAACAGTACGTTAAAGTACTCAAGACATTGCACTCTTTGTTAGAAGAGAAACTTTTTCAATTGTATTTCGCGGCTTAGGAGCCTGTATTCTCAAGATTTGGAAAAGAAGCTGACCCAGGGTTTCATTATTTTGGGGCAGCATGGATCTGATTAAAAAGCCCTGCTGTTGACCTTCAGCCAGGCTGCCCTTTACCTCAGTCGACTCATCTGAAAAATAAAGACTTGGAATTATATGACTATATTTCTGAGGTCTCTTTCCAGCTGCAGGTTCTCTTAATCTCCTATACAGGTTGAGTATCTTTTATCCAAAATGCTTGAGACCAGAAATATTTTGGATTTTCTATTTTTTCAGAATATGGAATATATATATGTACTACCTAATGAGATATCTTGGGGGTGGGACCTAAGTCAAAATACAAAATGTGTTTGTTTTATATAGACCTTATACACATAGCCTGAAGTTAATTTAATACAATACTTTTCGTAATGTTGTGCATGAAACAAAGCTTGTGTACATTAAACCATCAGAAAGCAAAGGTGTCACTGTGACCGCCCCCTGGGTTCATCTTGCCCGCTGCCCAGGTGGAGCTGACTTACCAAGATGGGAATTGCAATAGAGAAAGAGTTTAAGTCACACAGAGCTGGCTAAGTGGGAGACTGGAGTTTTATTACTTAAGTCAATCTCCCCCAAAATTCAGAGGCTAGGGTTTTTCAAGGATAATCTGGAGGGAGGTGGGGACTAGGGAGTGGGTGCTGCTGATTGGATGGGGTGCAATCATAGGGGTGTGGAAAATGGTCCTTGTGCTCATGGAGTCTGCTTCTGGATGGATGGGTCCACAGGACCAGCTGGAGATCTGGATGGAGTCATCAGAAGTGCAGAAGCCTGAAAAGACATCACAAAAGGCCAATCTTAGATTCTGCAATGGTGATGTTATCTGCAGGAGTAATTAGAGAAGTTGCAAATCTGTGGCTGATTCGTTAGTCCAACAGAGGCAGTCTGGTACCCAGACAAAAAGAGGGTTTGTTTGGGGAAAAAACTGTTACCATCTTTGTTTTAAAGTTAAACTATAAACTAAGTTTCTCCCAAAGTTAGTTCTGCCTGTGTCCAGGAATGAACAAGGGCAATTTAGACGTTAAAAGTTAGATGGAGTCAGTCAGGTCAGATCCCTTAAACTGTCAATTTTGTCATTGTTACATTTTTTGCAAAGGCAGTTTCATCACTATCTCATGTTGGTGCTCAAAAAGTTTTGGATGTTAGGGCATTTTGGATTAGGGATGCCCAACTTGTAATATATGACGTTTAATGTATAATATTTCGCTACCTAAATACTTGCAAATACCTGCAATAACAAGGAGGGCCTAGATAAAAGTGAGTCTCCCTAGGTGTCCCTGTATCTGCAGCACTGAGACTGTTTGGTGTAGATACCAAATAAATACCTGAGTGAACCAATAAGTACATGAATAAAAGGAGCTAGCACTGAGTAGCACATGGAGGTCATTCTTTGAGGCTGCCTGGTTATCCTTTTCTGTTATAAAGATAGGAAAGAATTGCTTTGCGTTTAGGAATTCTTAAGTGACTTAATCACTTCAGAATTTGAGTGATTTGAAAACAGTGTGACTAGAGTTCATAAAACCTTTAAACCATTAAGGCTGAAAGGAACCTAGGACATTCTGGAATCAAATCCTTTCATTTCCCTGTTGGGGAAAGCCAGGTGCCAGATGTTACAAGTATTTAAGTTAATAACTGGTTAAAAACTGACTAGGCATAGGTTAAGGCTGAGGTCACTTAGCAAGACCCCAAAACCTCACTAACAATATTTAGTGTGTCTTCTGAGAAATGATATCTATGATCCAGCATCCCCCAGCACTTTAAGTGCTCATTGCTGTATCTGTATATTTTTTAACAGAGAGAAAGTAAAAATTCATTAGTCTCATCGCCAAACCAGTTGTGCCATAACGCTCTCATAATTTGATGAATTCGTCTGTCAGTATCTATTTTTCTTGTTTGCGCACTGGCTCTCCTGCCTCTACACACATATCCACTATGTGCAATTCTGCAAACTATTTTATTTTCCCACAAATCCACGACATCATTTATGTCAACATGTAAGATGCACACTTGTGTTTTAGTGGTCACAGAATATTTCATTTGATTCCTTCCTCATATTTAGTCATACAGTTTCTCTTTTTTTTTTTTTTTGCTATTATAAACAAAGCGGAAGTGAGCATATTTTCACATGTATATTTCATTCCTAATTGATTGTTTCCTTGAGAGACATTTCTAGAAGTAGAGCTACTGGGTCAGAGAATAGGTGCATTCATATTTTCTTATCTGTGTTGAAAGGCATTGTAGGTAATAGTCCATATTCCACTTCCTAAAATGAGAAAGTATATATATCACCTTAGATACAGGCCCCGTACAGAAATTATTTTAATAATGGTATCTCAGATCAGTTGAAAGGTTTGCCATTTTAAGGAATTATTTTAAAAGGCGAGCATTGCCTCCTTACTGTATTTATTTTGGAAGAACACGGTGCCTTCTCTATGGGATTCTTAAGGAGGGCTGGCTGTAGCCTGAAGTGGGAGCCTACCTTGTAGCTGAGACCAGAATATGGAAGCAAAGAGGTTTGCTGTGTGCTTGCTACTTCATGGAAGCTTTAAGATAATTCTTGGCAGGATGCGCTGCTGATACGTATGCAGATGATAGCCTTTAATGCCTGTCAGACACTCAAGAGTAGCTTGTCCCAGGGGCTTTATTTATGGCAAATCACAGTTCTCCCCATGAGATTTAAGTACATGGTTTTCTTCCCTTCTAGAAAAGCCGGCTGGGCGTGGTGGCTCACACCTGTAATCCCAGGACTTTGGGAAGCTGAGGCAGGTGGATCACGAGATCAATATATCGAGACCATCCGGGCCAACATGGTGAAACCCAGTCTCTTCTAAAAATACAAAGTTTAGCTGGGTGTGATGACACATGCCTGTAGTCGCAGCTACTCAGGAAGCTGAGGCAGGAGAATCGCTTGAACCCGGGAGGCAGAGGTTTCAGTGAGCCGAGATCATGCCATTGCACTTCAGCCTGGCAGCAAGAGCAAGACTCCGTCTCAAAAAAAAAAAGCCCAGTGCACACAGACATGGGGCGTGGAACTCCCGCCCCTTCCTATCACTGTTTCTAGTGCAAACATGGCAGTCTTGCCGCTCAGCCCTGCAGAAAAGAAAGTGATTTTCCCAGGAACTCTTATCTTATGTAGTCTGAACTTTTCCACAGAGCTGTCTGGTAGTGTCGTAGCCATGATGGAGAAGGCCGTGGGGCCTGGAATCTCCTTGCTGTGCTCTGCGGCCCCAGGCTCTGTGGACACGTGATGCGAGAGTTTTTAAAGAGTGACTTTCTTTTGTCCTTCATGATACAGCCCCCAGTCCCTCCTTTAAAATACCAGGTTGTGCTGTAATTTCAACTCTGCCTTTTGCCCTTTGACCATCTGTGTGACAAGAAAGCCATTCCAATGGTTCAGTAAGCACCGGCTGAGGCTGGCTCCCCACAGATCCAGCTCGAGGTGCTGGTGGGGACAGCCTGCCCTCTGCTGTGTGCCATGATCCCAGCTGGAGCTGCTGCACATCCAGAGGGAGCCGCCTCAGTCACACTCCAGCAGACAGGTGCAAATGGAGTGATGCAGACAGAAAGAAAGCAAATCACACCTCAAGATTTATTTTCTTTCTAGAAACACCCGCCGGGCAGCAGAGGTCTGGATGGATGAATACAAAAATTTCTATTATGCAGCAGTGCCTTCCGCTAGAAACGTTCCTTATGGAAAGTAAGTGGCAGTTCTGCGTTCTCACAATTACTGGGGATTCTTGGGGTGCGGGGGTGGGAGGTAAGGGACTGCCATCAGGGTTGAGGACAGCTACCCAGGTGCCAAGGCGGGAAGGGGTTGTGGGCACAGGAGCGTGGGCAGTGCACACCACACCACCTGCCCCAACCCCGATCTCCTCAGCAGATTTTCAAGTTTGATGTAGAAAGCCCATCTATTCTTAAAATTTATAAAGGAATCTTATTTCCTTCTTCTCCAGTATTCAGAGCAGATTGGAGCTTAGGAAGAAACTTAGCTGCAAGCCTTTCAAATGGTACCTTGAAAATGTCTATCCAGAGTTAAGGTAAGTCCCCAGGGATCTGGGGTTTCACTTTATAAGGGCTTAGAAACCAGTAAGGCCAGAGAAGCAGCAGAGGGGAAATGGAGGTGCTGCTGCAGGCATGAGACTGGTCACCTGGGCCCCAGTGAGAGTCTGTGGTCTCACCCCGTGGCGTGGACCTGAGAATCTGTTCCCAAGTTGGCCTGCTGCTCTCCATCCTGCAGAGCTGCCCTCCCATGCTTCAGAGTCCCAGAGGCAGTCCCTTGGTTTTGGCTTGTTCTCCATTGGCAAGGTGATGGGCTGGGTGACCCGGAGGACTGGTGTCTGACAGGCTTTTTGAGCGTCTGGGAGCAGTCTCCAGCCTCCGCAAGCGTGCGCTGTCTGCGGCCAGCCCTCAGTCCCCCACGCCAGGCGCCTTCGCCTGCCTCTGATCTGCTGCGCTCACCCTTGCTGCTCCTGTGGGCCAGCAGGTAATGGCCCCAACAAGGCTCCAAGCGTGGGGACCTGACCACGTGCCTCCCTCCTCCAAGCTGGCTTAATCACGTGTGAGACAGGAGTAATAATGCCGCTGCCCTGCGTCCCTCCAGAGGATTCATGGCAGAAACACCTTTCCGAGCATTATTTCCACACCCGGCCTCTTGTTTTAAGCGAATACGAGCTCCCATCCGGAGGGACCCGCTGATAACCTCGTGAGAAGACCTGTGGATCGGCTGGGGGGGAGGAGCCACCTGCACTTCGTCGTCTTAAAGGACTGTCAGGCAGATCGTGCCTTAATGCGGCACATTCCTTATTCTAAATATTCCCAGAGCATTTTACAGCGGCTCACATATCTCCAGCACAGTGCCTGAACGCAAGACTTGCCACCATTATCTTTCCGCTAACGGCTCCTTCAGAGCCCTTGTCATGGAGATTTGTTGGACAGTTAGGTAATGCGGCCTCTCTGTGTTGCTCCTGTTCGCTTACTTGGCTCTTTGGAACCATTTCCTCTGCTTTTCAAGTAACATGTTAGGCGCCAGGTGGCCCATCCCCCCTAGGAGGAGAACAGGAGAGAACACAGCGTCCTTCTCCCTCGGATCCCTGCCCTGGTGGTCATTGTGCCAATTAAGGCAAGGGTGATTCTCACCTTGTTTTTCAAGGGTTCCAGGACCATTCGAGGATATAGCTTTTGGGGCCTTGCAGCAGGGAACTAACTGCCTCGACACTTGGGCACTTTTGCTGATGGTGTGGTTGGAGTTATGAATGTCACAATGCTGGGGGAAACCCAGGTATGTGCATGGGGAAGCCAGGTCACCTGCAGGCCCAAAGAGAGCAGGAGTCAGGGGTCCTGAGGTTAGAAAGTCCTAGCTACCACCTTTCTCCTGGATGAGTGATGTCTTTGAGGAAGCGCGCTGGCCTCCGCTGGCCACAAGCCTTCTTTGCCAGCCAAG